GGTTCGGCAGGACCAAAAATGTCCGATCACGGACACTGGAGATGGTGTGGCAATCCTCGGCTCGGAGGATTCCAGCTGATTTGGCCAATTCCCCCTGTGGGAATGCCAACAGGAACACAACGAAAAGCTCGACTGAAATCCAACTCAACTCATAGCCCTGAAAAGGACTGTTTTGGCTTCGGCTTGTCCAAAGAGGAAAAACGAGAATGAATTAAAACTTTCAACGGCGCTATATTTCGGTGTTTGCTTTACAAAGCTTGTGGACTGTATGCAGGCGACGCGCAAAATGCGTCGCTTTAAATATGTTTGGCTTTCTTCTTTTTGATGTTGTATTCATTCATTTCTCCTTCATTCATAACCAATCAGCACTCGCTGCACGCTCGTTGGTTTGTGGTCGGTCGGTCGCTCGTCGCTCGGTCGGTGCTGCTGCTTGCATGCTCGTGCCAAGCCAGCGGCAGCGTAAGGAAATGATCAAAGCTTATTTTCAGGGTCTTGATACAAATTAAACATGTAGCACATTAGGGTTAGTTTCGGAAACCGATTACCCGCGGTCGCCTCGGGGTTAGTAGAGTTTTAAAGGATTGGGTAAGTGGTTAGGGCGATTACACAAAACAACTACTACTACTACTTCTACAACACATTACGTTCGCTTCAATCGCGAACAGAGGGGTTCGTGGATTTTCAAATGTTTCGAGGGGTGCATCGATTAGCTTGGGACCGAAGATAGTACCAGAGCTGAGCCAAAAAGTTGAGCACGTTTCTTCGAGACCTTCTGGTCTTAGAGTTACCTCTATGGTGGTAGCACAAACGAAGTGACAGACGACTAACTGGCGAAGAAATCCATTTAAATAATGTGGTTCACTGTAATAGAATTTTCTTGGAAGCTTGTGCCATCATCCACCAGATGGGTTAGTTTTTTTGTTTTGATTTGAACAAAGTTGATTTTGTGTACAATGATTCTTTGACAGTGTGCAAAGAGTGCGTATCATTTTGTCATTTTTTTTATGCATTTCAGTTTTGAGTAGAGTGAAAGAGATAGAACCAAAACATTCTAGTACATTTGGTGAAAATGCTAGTTCAATCCAGTAGTAGCAACAATCAATACGAAACTAACGATTTTAAATTGGCTCACCACTTTAGTAGCCTATTGGTCCCACGCAAACGATTAACGTACCCTATTCTAGTTGAAATTCTATTACTACACTATGTTTGTTTTGATTCGCTATGAAAGTTTGACAGATAACATCAGGGGTGTGTGGATTCATGCAGAACATGCAGGGGTGAGTGAAATAGCTTGGGACTGCTTGGAACCGTTGTTCTGGTACTGAGTGAGCCAAAAATAATAATGATTTTCTTCGGGACCCAGTGGTCTTAGAGTTACCTCTATGGTAGTAGCAACAATCAATACGAAACTAACGATTTTAAATTGGCTCACCACTTTAGTAGCCTATTGGTCCCAAGCAAACGATTAACGTACCCTATTCTAGTTGAAATTCTATTACTACACTATGTTTGTTTTGATTCACTATGAAAGTTTGACAGATAACATCAGGGGTGTGTGGATTCATGCAGAACATGCAGGGGTGAGTGAAATAGCTTGGGACTGCTTGGGACCGTTGTTCTGGTACTGAGTGAGCCAAAAATAATAATGATTTTCTTCGGGACCCAGTGGTCTTAGAGTTACCTCTATGTTATAACTCTGTAGTCTAACATGTTATAGCGCTATCTTGATGGTGGTTTCTGTGTTGCAATTATTTGACAACCGTTATAACATGTTATAACCATAGAGGTAACTCTAAGACCACTGGGTCCCGAAGAAAATCATTATTATTTTTGGCTCACTCAGTACCAGAACAACGGTCCCAAGCAGTCCCAAGCTATTTCACTCACCCCTGCATGTTCTGCATGAATCCACACACCCCTGATGTTATCTGTCAAACTTTCATAGCGAATCAAAACAAACATAGTGTAGTAATAGAATTTCAACTAGAATAGGGTACGTTAATCGTTTGCTTGGGACCAATAGGCTACTAAAGTGGTGAGCCAATTTAAAATCGTTAGTTTCGTATTGATTGTTGTTATAACTCTCCAGTCTGGACAGCGTTTTATTGAACGATAGTTATGAGAAAGTCGAATCTCTCGTTCCGTTTTTGACAACAACAAAAAGTGAGAGTGGGATGCAAAACTCACAAATACCCAAAATTAAGAAAAACGAACTTAAATTTAGGGTAATTTATATGTATTCATCGAAACCGGAATCTTTTCATTTTTGAATTCAATTCGTCGAACGTTGATGTCAAAGCTGTTGATTTTTAATTTTGTAATGTTGGTAATAGCTCGTTTTATTGCCATTCTTTTCGCACGCACCCGTTCGATCACTACACTGTAACTGGAAAGTACCCATTAATGGGTGAAAAAGTGCCCATTTCGAAGTAAAGTAGGTAAACTCATTTAATGGGTAAAACGTCTTTACCCATTAATGGGTAAAGACCTTGTACGTCAAATCATGGGGTACTTTTTTACCCATTTTTAAATAATAATTGGCTTTATAAAATGGGTACAAAGTACCCAATTTTGAAATCCTTAAACCAGGATTCTTCTTTTAGAATTTGTATGATTTATGGATCATTGAAAGAGCCACAATGAATAGTTAAGAATACAAAACGTTATTTATATTTATATCTTTATTTCACCATTTTCCATCCAGTGGTCTTTCCATCGTTCGTGCAAGAAATGGTGCTCCCAAAGCTCTCCTGGGATCTCCTTGCTGATCCGGCTAGTTCTGTCCCTGCAAGTTTCAGATTGATGTTTAGATGTGGGCAGAAAGAAATAAAATAAGAAATACCTACTTTTCAAACGAGCAATTTCCATTCGACATCGTTAAGACACTTTGCGACTGAAGCGAGGACTGGAAGATGTTATCTAAGTTGCTTTTCACCCATTAATGAGTAAAAAAGTACTCATTATTCTCGCCCGAAGCGCTCTAAGAAATGGGTAAAAGAGTACCCATTATTTGAAATTGAACTTCACCCATTATTTGACAGCCTCATATAGTCATCAAAAATGGGTCCTTTTTTACCCATTAATGGGTACATGGCAGTTGCAGTGTACTGCTGAAGTGAGAAAGAACCGAGAAAAGAACACCGGTCCAATCTTCTACACGGTAAAAAAAAAGGCCCCAACTGCCAGTTCACTTTTACCTACTTTTGACTAGTTTGTTTCCTTTTCTCCTTCTAATGACTCAAATTTGAGAATATCAGCTCATAAACTCACTAGAAGCTTATTGAACGATAGTCATGAGAAAGTCGAATCTCTCGTTCCGTTTTTGACAACAACAAAAAGTGAGAGTGGGATGCTAAACACAAAATTACCCAAAATTAAGTAAAAAGAACTTAAATTTAGGGGATTTTTTTCTCGGTGTACCCTAATCAAATCAGTGCCAACATTTCAAAGGGGCGTAATTGCATTTGTAAACAATGGCTTTAGTCGTCGATTTCTCGCGAATAAAAGCTCACTCATGAAAAATAATGACACCAGCAGGTAGAGGAATGTTTCGTCTCCCACATAAACGCGAACCATAAATTGACCTTACCTAAAATGGTTAAAAATTGTTTATAATCCCTGCTAAACTTTAACTGAAATGGTTATGGAACTTTACATGAACGTTTAATGATAAAGTTTCAACCTTATGTATTATGGTTTTTTGGAACTGGACCTTACAAATAATGGGTTGTTAAGAACCATTACCATTCCAAATACTTGTTTTCTCCATACATTTTCAGAAAGAGAACTATATAAGAACGTTTTTACTTATGATTTGAGAACATTAATGGTAATGGTTATGGTAGTCAGTAAGGTCCATTAATGGTTTTGTATTATCGCTCAACTTTACGTGGAATATATCGTGAATTGGTAATCAGTAAATTACAGGCAACCAATTCGCGATATATTCCACATAAAGTTGATCGATGTTACAAAACCATTTGTGGACCTTACTGACTACCATAACCATTACCATTAAAGTTCTCAAACCATAAGTTAAAAGGTTCTAATATAGTTCTCTTTCCTAAAATGTATGGAGAAAACAAGAATTTGGAACGGTAATGGTTCTTAACAACCCATTATTTGTAAGGTCCAGTTCCAAAAAACCATAATACATAAGGTTGAAACTTTATCACTAAACGTTCATGTAAAGTTCCATAACCATTTCAGTTAAAGTTTAGCAGGGATTATAAACAATTTTTAACCATTTTAGGTAAGGTCAATTTATGGTTCGCGTTTATGCGGGCTACCAGCTAGCATTGTAATTTTGGAGAAGTAAGATTTCATTCGAAAGAAATTGACGGCTAAAGTCATTGTTTACAAAAGCAATTACGCCCCTTTGAAATGTTGGCACTGAAATAATATTGTTTTAAAATGATTTTTTACATATTTCTAGATCAACAATAGAAAAGGGCCCATCATCATTTGTAAACAAACCGTTCCAAAGCCCTTTACTAACAAACCGAAGGCCACCCACGCAAACCAACACCATCATCGGATAGGGGAAACTTCTACCTACACGATGATGGTACTGGTTTGTGTGGGCGGCCTTCGATTTGTGAGTAATTGGCTTTGGAACGGTTTGTTTACAAATACTGATGGGCCTTTTTCTATTGTTGATCCAGTTTTGCAATCATTGTGTGTATTTTGACGTTTACCTGTTCTTCGATTATTCGTACTACTCGTACTTATACAAACTGGTTTTGCATCTTGCTTACTCCAACGTAGAAATTTCTGTCATATTTCGTCAGTTTCATCTTCGTGACGGCATCGGTTCATGTTCGGGTGGAAAAGCTACGAACTTTCTAGAAGCGAACCTGCATACTTTGCTTTGAACCGCAGTACGGTTCCAGAACGTTCTCAGGCCTGGTCTGGTGTTGCTGCGTGTGTTGGTAAGTATGGATTTTCGTATGGGTATTCTGATGGGGGAAGAAGGATCATGAATGTGGACCCACGAAGTGCTGTTTAGTAGTGATTCAGTATTTCCAGAAAAAGCATTTTGCGAAAGCGAAAAAAACGCTGCGCCGCTGTCGCGATAATCTGTTCCTTACGTAAAGCAACTGGAAGTGGAGTTTACCAAGAGATAAGTGCTGAAGTTACGGTCAAAGTGAAAAATCGATAAATTTCTGCAGAAAAGGAAATCGACTTTTTTTTATATAACGTGGTGCATACAGTCGGATCAGACAAAAAACTGCACTCGATTCGGTTTGAAAATCGATAATTTTTCTCTGTTCTCGAAAGTTTAGCATCAGCATCGTAAGTAATCCCAAAATCAGCAGTGAAACGATCAACAAAGTCTAGCAAATTCGACGTGTCCCCAGAGTGCTTCTTCCTGGGAAGGAAATTTGTGCGACGGGAAATATGGTTATTATTTTAATGATTTTTCATTCGCTACAATCTGTACTGTTAGGGAATCGATTTTTCAGGCTGCTAGAATGTTCTGCTTATTTTTAGACTACCCTTCAAACGAACTGTTGCTTGAAAATGGATATTATCCGCTGAGGGAAATCTGGAAAAGTTACTCCTGTTCTGCTCTTCCGGGTTCGTTTTTCGCCACTTCGGAAGATCGATCCAAACGAAACGCCATTAGCTTAGCCCTGAACTTCGCTATGGGCATCTGTATGTCAATGCGTGTATTTTTCATGGTTCTAGAAAAACGTGTTCGGCGACAACAAAGAGAATATTATTTTCTCTGCCGTCGTTAGGTGATGCATCGGTTGTAGTTTTCACACATAGTTTTTTTTTTTATGAAAATGTATAGATGTTTCTAGTAGACGAACAATTTCACCAAATGGGAATACAAATTTTTGCGATATAACAAAAATGCTTTTGCAAGTCGCCATTTTGTTTCGTCAGAGATGAGCCGTCATCGGTTTCGTTTTCGTGTGAAATAGGTGCTGGGAGAATAATTAATGAAAAAAAAAAACGTTTTTCCTGATTAGCGTGATATGAAACCGTGACTCAGCACCCGTTCGTTTCCAGGAAGGCAGCTTGATAAATAAAATTGTGGGTACAGACCCAGGAACTGTCAAAATCCCTTCAGAAACCACGGTGTTTATAAATAGTTTCGAGGCAGTAGCAGCAGCAGTCGCCTACAACGTAAAAAGCAATAGAACCCTCCTCCCCCTGAAAGTCTAGTACCATCTGATTTTCCCTTTAGTTAACACTTGCATTCTTTTGTTCTAGAAAATCAAGACCGAACAAAGTAAACGGCACAAGATGGTGAAAGAAACAGGTTTCTACGATATATTAGGCGTAAAGCCTGGCTGTTCCCAGGACGACCTGAAGAAGGCTTACAGAAAACTGGCTCTGAAGTACCACCCGGACAAGAATCCAAATGAAGGAGACAAGTTCAAACAGATCTCGATGGCGTACGAAGTTCTGTCGGACCCAGAAAAGAAGGCCATCTATGACGAAGGTGGTGAACAAGCCATCAAGAAGGGCGGTGGTAGCGGCGGCGGCGGCTTCCACAGTCCGATGGACATCTTTGAAATGTTCTTCAATGGAGGAATGGGCGGACGAAGGTAAGTTTACAAGGACGATTGTGGTCAGTTTTGTTATCGTCATGCGGCCGGAGTGAAATTGAGATTTGATTAATGGCAGTTGAGGCTCGACCGTCTGTCATTTTGATATACACTGGATTGAGCTTTGCAATCAGCTGAGTACCTATGCATTAAGATAGAATTCCAGTATACCTAACGTTTACGTGAATATTACACGGTAAGAAAAAAATATCCAGCGGCCAGTTCATGTTTACCTGTTTTTGACTAGTTTGTCTCATTTTTTTTCTTATTGTCAAAAACGGAGGAGCTTAACCACCAAAAAGCTGTGGGAGCCCAACATTGAGTATAATCATATTTACCTACTTTCGGGTAGAAAGCGAGTGGAAAATTCCATAGAAATTGCACATAAGTAAATGAAAACTATTTTGACCCGCTTTATCTAGTGAAAAGAGCTTCCTGTTGGATATTTTTTTTCTTTTTACTTTTTTGGATACCGTGTACACTATTCATATGTTTTCTTATTTCTGGACTAACATGTAAAAATCGCCTATGAGCCGAACGTAAACATAGTATTGACTTAACACCGAGGTTTATCATCATCAGGGAAGACTGGGAGGGCTCAATGGGCAAGGTTGCAAAGACTCATTTCAGCTAAAACAATGTTTTTCTAAATTATGAAATAATTAGATGCCATGATCAAATTTTGAATTGGTAGGATACAAGAAGAGGTTGCAGAGAATGTGTTTGACATATTAAACCTGTTTATTTCACTTCATGAGAGTCACAATCAGCGATTTTTCACAAACTCACTCACTCACTCAGCGATCAGCAAATCGCTGATTGTGACTCATAGAAAGCAAAATTTACAGGTTTTATGTTTCCAACGCATACTTTATAACCTCTTCTTGTAAGTTACAAGTAAAACATGCCATCATACCATCTTTTGGTTTTATTATTCCGAAAAACATTATTTTAGCTGAAATGAGTCTTTGCAACCTTGTTCAAGTCACTTTTTCATAGGTGATCTTTTTTTTAAAGAAAATGATGTTGACACACTTTTCTTAAAAAATATATTTGCAGAAAAGTGCTTCAATTTGAAAAAGAAACTTTAATCGCCCGTTTCATTTTTCTATATAGGGTGGTTGTGGACAGTAACGGCCGGCTATGGGTAACCGAATGAACAAGCCCAACGATTACAATTAGGAAAAACTCGCCTAGACACAGCGGTGGATACTTGTTTGCTATCTTGTGAAATGTATTAAAACATGCACGAAATGCGTATTCAATGAGCGCTATTTATTAAAAGGTTACTTATTAAACACGCAATGGCTGTGAAAGTGTTTCAAAGAATACGCCTTTGAGAGAGACCTTGGAGTATTTTATAAAAGAAACAATGGAATATTCACCCATATTCTTGTTTTCGTTCAAACCGTAGTTTCCATACATAAAACCCTCCCTTTGGCTAGTTTTTGCACCTTGCTGCTTGTAGGGTGGGCTTAATTTTATGCTTTATAATAGTGGAGTGTTGGATACGGTAGGTTAATGGCCGGCGTTGCTGGTTCATGCCGCGATATCATGGCGCCATTAGCAGGCGATGTGGATTACTCACACCAAATTTTTATCGCTGGAAATCAGCAATTTTTTGCTGAATTTTGCCGAGCTGAAATTTCAGCAATCATTCCAGCAATATAAAATTACTGAAATTTTCAGCAATGTGAAATGTCATTCTGCTTGACAGAGGTTTACTGAATTATCAGCATATTTAATAGATTTGCTGAAAATTCAGCAATCGCATAATTTGACAGCCTTTGCTGATAGAATTAACCACTTCATTCGAGTAGTTAAAATGACGTGAGCTGAAAGATAAAGTTATTTGTAGTTGTCGTCATATTATCCACGGACAAAACGGCTCCAACGAAAAAATTGTAAAAATTATCAAGAGACGGTTCAAAATTGAATTTGAAAATAAAGTATATTTTAACCAAAAGCAAAAATGCTCGGCGAATATCACAGCCTGCCGAAAACAACGTTTATTCAAACGGATGTATGTTGCTCCTTCCTCATACTGTGGTGCCTTGATGATTAAGATCGGTAGCTTGGTCTTAGAATATCCAAAAGCGAATTGCTCAACGTCGTCTTCGGGCTGAAAAGGTCATTAGTATTATTTGCAAATTAGAATAATTTATTAAATTATTGATTACTCATACATTGATCCACTCGATGATATGATCCCAGTAGTTTGTGATCTTTTATGGTCCTTGAATTGCACGCTAAGCCCCACGAGTTGGAAGTTTGTCCTTTACGATAACAAGTGTTCGAATAAATTCTGTAAACCACAAATACATAATCAAAAATGTATCCATTTTCACAGCAAATTTTCTCACGGGATTTGATATATGAATGCAAGCTGTGGTGTTTTGCCAGTATTTTTGGCTGCAAAATTTCCCAGGTTTCATTGAAGTCGCCAGCATTAGGAAACATCACATCGAAATCCACTGAGATCTAAAACCGAAAAATTTGCAAGTAATTAGAATGAAATGGCTAGTTTTAAATATTATACTAACTTCCGGATCCATTACGGAATTAACTTGTTGCAGAATAATTACTTAACAACCACACGCGCACTGCACTCAGCGTAGTCGAAAAACAAAAACATTTGCGGCTTTTTTTTTCTTCTTATTTTGACAGAGTGAAAACGAGACGATGAAGAAATATGCTGAATTTTCAGCAATCTTGTCAAGTTGCTGGTTTTCAGTAAAAACGAACCAAATTTTGATTTTCAGTAAAATCGTAGATTGCTGATTGCTTTTCAGTAAACCATTTTGTTGAAATCTTTGATCAATTTTTGGTGTGTAAGCTTCCTCTCTCTGATGAACCACTGCATGAGAGAACCAAAGATCTAGTCAGGCAGTGATAGTATCACACTTGTTACTCCTTTGTTTGAGAGCCGCGTTGTAATACGCTTACGTATAGGCACTGACGTTGGGTGTGATACTGGTGGGTTTTGCCGCAAATCTCTTTTTTTTTTACACAGATAGATTTATTTGGGTTTGCAAGGGAATTATACTATTGAAATATTTCAGAAAGTGTCCAACAGTGCTCTTTCTATTCGCGTGACAAGACTCAGGGAACAAAGTTAAACACCATTTGTGTACGTGGTATTGTAACTAATCTTATATATCAAGCATAACTTTTCAAAAGGACGTAAGTCGCAAAAATAAACAAATCGATATTTTGCATCTAACCGAATATAAAATTCATGCTTTTCCTACGAGTTCATGAAAAACAAGGTTTGAAATTGTAGTGCATTATGGAAAATATATTTAATGAACGCCCTATGTGACCTTCTTTCATTGTTTTTAAAATGGTGTTGATACACCCTTTTATTGTTAACATGACTTAACTGTTAAAATTTGATGATAACACAAAAACTGCAGATACGCTCACAGTGAAGCGTCGTATGTGAAAAAATAAAACATCCACTATCAATCAGCAAATGCGTCAAGTTTGTATGTTTGTTTTTGTATTTCCGGGAGCAACATGTTTATTATTTCAAAAGTATTCTAATAAAATTGCACTTTAATCTTGACTTTAATATTGAACTTCACATATCAATCTGATCAGCGCTTTATTAATACGAAAAACACAAAACGTATAACATCTGACAGCAGATAATGCGGTGACCCTCTCATCTCCGGTTTTAACATCGATTATTTTACTACTCTGGGTAGTTATGTAAATAAACCAACCAACCGACAATTCCTCAATGCTTTTCGAGTTGCCGACGTATCTTCACTGCAAAAAAAAAACCGGTGTATCTGATTTGACGTATGTGAAAACCCTTCTGTCAAATAGACGAATCATGCAGGGTGTATGTAACAATCAAGGTGTGATACCGACGAATCAATCAGGGTGTATGTGAGTAGAACACAAGTAAAAGGTGTATGATTTTGTTATATCAAAAGTCTTGTCCGTGTTTGCAAAACTCAACATTTTTCACAATTCTCTTAAACGATATCCCTTTATCCAACTAATAGCACAAACAGATTTAAAAAAATAGCATTAACTTTTAAATAGCATTTAATAATCTCATATAGACATTGCTATCCAATGTTTTTAATTTCCTATCCAATGTTACATACGTCCTTTTGAAAAGTTATGCTAGATATGTTTCATTTTGATATGGGATAAGTGTTTGAACTATGGCTCGGGATTTCCACTGTGGCGTACTTCTATTGTGACATACCCATACGTATTTTTGTGGTGCGTCATAGTGGCAACGTGTGAGCGTAGTAGGAGTATTATATACCCTGTATAATTTAAAAATCAGCTAGGAAACTAAACTAACTTCAAAGCGAAGCATTTTAGTCACTTGAAGATATAATAAATATACTGCCTACAATCGCATATCAGTCCCTTATGGATTTTCGTCAATTTTGAGATAACGCTATCCACTATCAATTGGCATCTACTTTTATATTATGTGATAAAACTATGGACTTTGAATGGGAAAACAACATCAGGTCAGTTTGTCTTATCAAGCAAAATAATCGCATATCAGTCCCATCCTGAAATTCAATCGCCCATAGTTCAAGTTAAAGGTCTGCTTTTTGAATTGCAAAAAAAAATATAGGGGAAATGACGGCTTCGGCATGCCAGACTATTTTCGGCAACCCAAATTGAAACACTATTTTCACTGGATTTTCTTACGAAAACACTTCGCTGAATGCATGCAAACGATTCTTTATGCTTTCAGCTTCAATTTGACTATATTTTTACCACTGAGAAAAAGCAATCTAGTAAGGTTTTCTTGAAATGAAACACACGCACTACAAATTGTAGCTGATTTCGAGTTGCCGATAATAGAACAGCAGATTTACATGCAGTTCAAATGGAACGGTTGCCGAAGAAAAACTGGTTGCCGACAATACTCGCTCTCACTAGAGAAGATTGGAGCTTTGTAAAAGCGTTTCAAAACAGTTTTTGACAATTCTTTCGACTGAAATTGTTAGAGCAGCTGGCAGCAAAAGATTGTAAACAAACCAATACTGCATCTCCAAGCGCAATCTCACGAACACTAAAATCCAACATCCATATATAAAAATGAAGAAGAAGAAGAAACAAAAAGGTATCGCGATATCACAACTACTTAAAAAGGTAGCGCGCGGTCTCACGCACACTTTTGTGCATCAGGAGAACTCTATAGAAAGAAGATCGCTGCTTAGATTGCCGAGAATACGTAAATTCCCCTATATGCAGGTCGGACTCGATTATCCGGAGTATCGATTTTTTTTTCACTCCGGATAATCGAATCACAAAAAAAAAAAATCAAATTGGAAATTGCACTTCGTAACTTCGACTGCCATTTTCTCAATGCCTACTTTTTCCATACGGAACTGATGGGATTATAGGCAGTATACCCCGTGTCCTTAGTTCAGTCACTTTAGTGAATGTCGTATTACTCCATCACTATTGAGAAATGATGAAGTATTCGGATTTGTCAACCAATCTGAAAACTGCATTGTAAAGGTTCAAATCATCTAATGTCACAATTTTAATCATCAAGTCATAAACGAAACGGATTATATTGAAGTGAAGAAGCCTACAATTTTCAATTTTGTTGCATTAAGTCACCAAAAATGTGTACATTGCTTAAGGTGCTCATTATGCGCGCCTTCCCCCTATCTTTCATCGGATTTTACAAAACGATTTCTGCATTGAACATCCAATGAAATTTAAAGGATTTCACCAACGGAGATTAGTGTGGTTTGGTTCAAGGTAGATATGTGCATTTCATCGCCGTGTTATAGTGAACAGCCAATCTCAATATTATTTAAAGGCCGCATAAGTTAAAAGTTAGACTGTAACCAATGGTATGGCATCAGTAGCTGATGATTTATTTTTCTTTTGCAGCAAACGAGAACGCCGTGGCAAGGATCTGGTCCACCAGCTCTCGGTCACGTTGGAGGAACTGTACTCGGGTACCACCAGAAAGTTAGCTTTACAAAAGAACATTATCTGTGATCAATGCGAGGGTCACGGCGGCAAGAAGGGTGCTGTCCAGAAATGCTCACCGTGTCGTGGTACCGGTGTCGTGACCAAGATCCAGCAGCTGGCTCCAGGCTTTGTCCAACAGTTTGAGGAAGCATGCCGTCAGTGTCGAGGAATGGGCGAAATCATCGACGAGAAGGACAAGTGCAGAAAGTGCAATGGGCGGAAAACAGTACGAGATCGCAAGATACTTGAAGTGAACGTAGAAAAGGGAATGCGCGACGGACAGAAGATTGTATTCTCTGGCGAAGGTGATCAAGACCCCGACTTGCAACCCGGCGATATTGTGATAGTTCTGGACGAAAAGGAACATCCTATTTTCAAGCGATCTGGCCAGGATCTGATCATGCACATGCAACTGCAGCTGGTCGAGTCGCTTTGTGGTTTCCAGAAGATAATCCGAACGCTGGACGATCGGGATCTGGTCATCACTTCCCATTCCGGCGAAGTTATGAAGCATGAGGCAATCAAATACGTGTCCGGTGAGGGAATGCCTCAATACAAGAACCCGTTCGAGAAAGGACGGCTTATCATGCAATTCTTCATCGCGTTCCCGGATTCCATACCGATCGATATGGTTCCCATCTTGGAACAGTGTTTACCCGGACGGCCCGTAGTGAAGGTTCCCGAAGACGTCGAAGAATGCAACATGGTGAGTAGAGTACTTCAATTTTATGTTTTATGCATTACGTGTAAATTGGTTTTTCGGCTAGCAAAACTCCAAAAGCCAGACTGTACTACTTCCAACTTCCGAAAATGCATCCATGTTCAAGCATATTTGCATCATTGTGGAATCGAGTACAGTCTACAATTTACTTTCGAATGCTAGAATAACTCTGGGACTCAAAAGGATGATTTTGCAAAGTTGTCGCAAATCTCATTTTTCTACAATCCCGACAATGTTTCAATGCAATCTTTTACTTAATAGTGGTTAGAAATCTAATGTGCTCATTTTTTATTTTTGCAGCTTGAACTGGACCCAGAGCACGATCGTCGAAGTGGTCTCTATAAGAACGCTTACGACGAGGACGAAGACCACCACGGTCCGGGAGTGCGAGTGCAGCAGTGTGCCACCAGTTAAGCGCATTTCCTTCCAACATGGAGGAAAAGACATTGCTGTATAGGGAAAGGAACGAAAGCAAGGGAGCGAAGGAGTGGGCGTTAACTCTGTCAGTGTGTCTGTCAGCGCATTAGATGCTAAATTAGGAACTTAGTTTTTTTTCTTAACCAAAACCGCCGTTTAAGATAAAAAAAAGAGCAGAGAGGAAACAGAGAAAATCAACACAAGCAGCAACTCTTAACCGCTCGCAGTTTGGGAAATCTATTGGCAAAGAAACAGGACAGTGTAACAACCTTTTGAATTTACATGCTTTAGACGTATGAAGGAATCGTACTTTCGATAAAGAAAAAGATAAATTTGGCAAATATACTTCACAAGCTGCTCTCCGTCATTCATTCCAAAAAAAGAAGAAGATCAGCAACACCACTATCATATTTGCTATCTTATCATCCAATAAAAGAGGTATTTTTTGTTCGGAATTAATTTGTCTTTCAGTTGATTTTGTGAAGAGAACACTCATTTTTTCCATTATAGCCTTTCGTTAGGAGCGTTGATTTTCCTTCGTTATACAATTATCAGTAGCATGCTCATAGCACCACCAGTAGGGTTAAACCTTTCTGAACTACTTAGCACATTTGTCAAAGAAGGTAACTTATTTTTTATCCATCTATTTATGTTTTCTACTCTATGCTAGCAAAAGCCTTGCCCACATTTCTACTCGTTGAACATTCGACCAGGTGGAAAGGGTGAGGTATAAATGTGTAAGACACAGTTAATTAAACATGAAATGCAAAAGGAAAAACAAGATAACAATACGTCAACTACTACTAGCTGGAAGAATATTTAATGGGACAACCATAAATTAAACCATACATAGGAAAAGATATTCGGGATGCAAGCAACAGGACAGTTTTGGACCTTCTATTCTCCGTCTGGAAAGAAATAAGGATTTAAAATAAAACAGGAAAACTAAATAAAATATTTTATCATTGTCTGTAACTTCCATACTTGACGGGTCTTTTTGTTGTGCAATATTCTGATGACAAGCTGTTTCCTATATAGAAAATTATCGTTAAGTATGCTAAATATTGCCCATTTCATTGAAAACAATTCAACGCAACTGACCACCGCAGCAGGTTTTTCGAGCAGTACATGAAATTTTGACCACTCTAACGAATGGGCTTTTGTGACTTTGTTTTTTTTTTTTATTTATTTATTTTTTTCGTCGGACTTTTGTTGTCTAAAATAGCTTTCTATAGTAATATTTCGGAACAACTAACAATGTTGCGATCTCCTTTTTGGCGTTCATTCAGACGATTCAACCTAGTTCCTGTTAAGGCTCAAACGCAATGTGGGCGGAACGGAAACGGAAAGTTTGACATCAAGATGCCTAACTGAAGTCGATTTGATTCTAACCGACAAGTAGGCTTACTCAGATCGGGCTTTTCCGCTGCCGTTCCGCTTCCACTGTCATTGCGCTTGGGCCTTTACTGCCTATAATCGCATATCAGTCCCATATGGATTTTTTATCAATTTTGAGATAACAATGCTATCCACTTTCAATTGGCAGCTACTTTCATATTATGTGATAAAACTATGGACTTTGATCATGAAAAATGTGAAAACAACATCAGGTCAGTTTGTCCCATCAAGCAAAATAATCGCATATCAGTCCCATCCGGAAATTCAATCGCCCATAGTTCAAGTTAAAGATCTGCTTTTTGAATTGCCATATTTTTCGCTGATATAACAAAACATGCAAGCTTCATTGCAAAAGATTTGAAGTTGAAAAAATTATCAATTATTTTACTATTATTTATCAAATATTTACATGGAAATTGCACTTCGTAACTTCGACTGCCATATTTTTCCATATGGGAATGATATGGGATTATAGGCAGTTTACTCGTGTTGGTGTTCATTCAACCAAAACACAACCGAATGCGATGTGGTTGAAACAGCTTGCACTATTTAGTGCGAGTTAGTTGTACCCTGAGGGGAGGTGACTGTCAAATACGAACAATCGTAACCTCGCATAACTGGTTCCAAATGACAACAAAACCGTAAGCAACGATGATTTGTTGATGTTGAAACCAAATTCACATAATATGGAAAATCAATGAGCGTAAACAGGTGAGGCCCAGTAAACTTATCGTCTCTTTCGTTCTCCGGCTGTTTAAATGGATGACAGAGTTTGACGTCACACTTCTTCAACCGTTTAAACAGCACGGTCCATACAAATTTTAAAAATTTTGTATGGAAAATTGTCTACGCAGGGGGGGGGGGGGTTGGGGGGTTGGGTTTCAAGAATAAAAAAAAAACTGTCTACGTAGTTAATGAACAGCCCCATACCTGTGGTGGTAAGCTTCAAACGATATCCTCGGATTAAATTCTGAAACAATGTACGGCTGCTTTGATATCGACATTAGATTTAATCAATACGACTCTAAGCAAACATAATATGTTTGCTTAGAGCCGTATTGATTAAATCTAATGTATAAATTATAGCAGATCATGCAAACAGGGACTTACCGCCACTAATATAAATGTTGGGAGGGTGGGGCAAGATGGGTCATCATCTACTTGATTTAATTTTATTTTTGTTTGTCACCATCAACAGGATCAATGTAGCCCCAACGCTGGTATGAAAAATCAAATCATTATTGTTGGGATGCATCTAGCGTTCTCTACTCTACTCTCTACCTCATTATATCAGTGATTTTGTGAAATTATCTTAAGGAAAAATAGTAGAAATTGTCATTACTGATCATTACAAAACGTATCGCATGACAAATGTAATGCTCACTGCGTGTATATGATCATTTCTTCGGTTATATTTAATATTTAATTGACAACGGCGCCGGTGGTGTAGTGGTAAGCGTGATTACCTCTCACCCCAGCAGGCCTGGTTTCAATCCCAGTAGGCGCCGCCGGGATGTTCTGAGGCATAACATCTCTGATCACGCCTTCCTTCGGATGGGAAGTAAAGCCGTTGGTCCCCGGTTCATGAGTTGATGGGTCGATAGGTAGGGTCCAGGTGTGGGAGCTCCCTTCCTGGCACGTCGGTAGCATTGGTGCTCAGCACGGAAAACAAGATCAACGGAAAAAAACAAACCAAAGGAAAAAAAAATAATATTTAATTGCAATACCTTTCATAGCATCGTAATGCTTGTTTACTTTGCACGATAGGTAGCCGGTTTGACAGTTCAATAGGTAGACTTGGCTTCACTCTTGGCGTGACTCATTATACACCGACTCTAGATAATACCATATGGATCGCATTGTTTTTGGTTGAATAGCTACACTGCCGCTCATGACAAGTCCGTCCCAAAGCACAAATCATTAAGCCGAGAAAAACCCGTTTGGCTGTTTTCAAAACTTTTCCAGAGCAAAGTTGTTGAGTCCATGCAGTATAATGAAGCTATGCGTGAAATGCCAACACTTCCATTAAAAAACTCAGTTTTGACAAAAATGCAAATGGGGCTGACTTGCGATGAACGGTAACATTGCTTTGGCGAGATGAACCAACTATGGTCTTAGAAAGTCGAAACATGGTTGGAATTTCTTTTGTTCAATATCAGACACGTTTACATATTACACACTTCAATATTTTATTGTCACACACATTGATTCGCTACTGAAAGTAGTTCCTTAGACAAATTAATTACAATAATTGGAATTAGTACATATTACAATAATTTGCAAATTCAAGTTGTTCTCCAATTTCCACTCCTTTATTTTACAGCCACCATTTTGTAAGTACTGCTACTTTTCCATGTGGGGGGAAATGGTTAAAAATGAGTTTGCGATTCTCTTCAAAGCTGGGACGTTCTGGCCGTGCACTAACTGCACACAGCCGGAAGTCGCTTTCGCTTTCTTCGCTGCCGATTCGTCATCGTGCTGTATGGGATATTAGAAACATGTCACAACCAAGCAAAAATCATAGACTATTCAAAAATACTTACAATGAAAAAAAAAAAAGGTTTTCAAAACTGAAACGGTGACTTATGTCCAGGTATTTATTTTTTACACGGAGCAAGGAACCGCAAGCTGTTGCCGGAACGAAGCTCACCACCGAAAGAACTGTTGACGTTTGTAGAAGCCGAAAGCAAACGACAAGGGGCTCATGAATGTAATAAATTACCCTTTAAATTACTATACACGGAAGGAAATTGTGCAGTAAAAACTATATTGGGGGTTAAGGTTCCACAAAGGGTAACCCGCATAAACAATAACCATAAGAAGCGCCTAACCACCAATTCAGGATATCATCCCGACTTTATGTGGTATGGTCGTACCATCTATGATATCGTTAGTGTATGGTACCCATTTATTAGGGAAGTAAATTTGTGTTCTTCTTCTTTTTGAAATATTCTTCAATCATCATCGTTGGTTTACACATACATTCACATAATATTAATACGAAAATTTAACACTTGTATTTCATGATTTTAGAACGAAAACTTCTTGGGTAAAACATATTCACTGTATTTACTTACTTGTGTTCTTCGAAGCATAGCACTAGAGTCGGTGTATAATAACCCTAATAAAAATTGTATGGTTAATTTGCTTAACGACGTGTTCTGGGTATTGTCCAAACCATTTGTGGAATAGTTCAATGATTTGGGTTATCGTTCGTTTATGGTTATTTTTTATTAGGGAAGTCACGTCAAGAGTGAAGCCAAGTCTACCTATCGAACTGTCAAACCAGCTACCTATCGTGCAAAGTAAACAAACATTACGATGCTATGAAAGGTCCACGAAAGGTATTGCAATAAAATATAAAATATAATCGAAGAAATGATAATAAACACGCAATGAGCATTCAATTGGGTTCTTTAAGGGTATTGAAGGAAAATGCATATTCGTAATCTGCATTAAAAATGGAACCCAAACCCAAAATTTCATCAATTTTGGTACACTGGAACTATTTTAAATAAGTACGATTACATTTGCAAAAATCACCCTATTAGCGCCCCTCGGCGTCACTTTGTATGGGAGCGAGGTGTCAGTGTGTCAGTTTGGTGTCAAACAGTGAAATTATTATTTTGCTTTAAATCTTGATTTAAAAATCGAGATGAAAGTGTGTGGGTTCGAAAAAAATATCGCTCTGCTCAGAAAACGAAGCTCTTTCAGATGATATATTAAAAACGATATATTCTTCAAAATTAAAGAACCCAATTTTACCAATACATTTAGAAAAGACGATCGAAGAATATATCAAAAAGAAGAAGTAAACAAAATAATGACGCTTTGTAGATCCCGAGGGGGGCGACTCTATCTACAATGCAGGAAAACTGTGTTTTGCTGTGGTTAGCTGCATGCACTCTGAGTGGATAGAAAGAAGATTGATGACAATTCTGGAGATTTCCTGCACAAATATGATGCGCGATGCAAGTAGATGCGAGAAATGGAAGAAGATTTTTGGAAGATTTATTCGCTAGTGTGAGATTTGTTGAGCATCTAGAATTGGGTACTTTAATTTTGAAAAATATATCGGTTTTTATATATCATCTGAAAGAGCTTCGTTTTCTGAGCAGAGCGATATTTTTTTTCGAACCCACACACTTTTAGCTCGATTTTTAAATCAAGATTTAAAGCAAAATAATAACTTCACTGTTTGACACTAAACTGATAAACTGACAGCTCGCTCCCATACAAAGTTACACCGAGGGGCGCTAATAAGGTGATTTTTGTGAATTTAATCGTTCTTATTTAAAATAGTTCCAGTGTACCAAAATTGATGAAATTTTGGGTTTGGGTTCCATTTTTAATGCAGACTACGAATATGCATTTACCTCAATACTCTTAAAAAACTCAATTGAGATTTAGATGTGTCGCCCCCCTCGGTAGAACCTTAAAATAAAATGTTTAATGCAACAGACAATGCAACGATGATTATGATTATTATGATTATTATTGACAATAATTGCAATTTGCTGATCCGGATGCATTCTCCTGGAGCTTGGAAGTTTTTCACTTCAGAAAATACACAAAAAAATACGTAAATGTGTACACGTTGAAACTAAAATAGCCTCATAAAAATACTCAAAAATACATTGAAAATACTTTGTACATAAAAAATATATTTCATAATGAAATCAATACACTTTAATACAAAAATACACTATTCTTAAAAATAAATAAATACAAAGAAATACAAAATACACCTCTTCAAGTCGGGTAGATGAATCGAAAATACTCAAGTTGACAGCCCCTCGGTAAAATTAGCGCGAAATCTGTTTGCATAGCAGTGGTTATCAAAAGAGAAGGTCCATGAAGAGAATCGATCAAAGTAGATAGGACTATTTGCAATGTTCATCGAGTTGTGGAAAAGTTCGACTCTTTGGGTTATTGTTCGTTTATTGTATTTTTTTATTATGGTTCCACTTAGGGTAGTTTCTTTTTTTGGTGATCCTGGGTGTATCCTACTCAAATGTGGGTAGTTTTGAAATAGTGTGTGTAACGGTTGTGATCGAGGGTTATTGGTGTAATTGACTTGACGAACCCCTTGTTCGAGTGAGGAGGATAGAATCGAGGATAGAATACAAAGAGTACAGAGAGAGGTGAAGCAGATCGTGAAATATTGTTGGATTAGTAAACCAAAAAATCAACTTAAACGCAAGTAGTGACGTCACTAATTACTTGTATCGTACAGGGGTTTTACTCACACAACTTAATCGATTGCCTCACCTCGGCAATCAAGCTCATTGGATCGAATATTCAAAATGTGCATGCGGTTACACCCTGCGCATTACTGTCACTTTCCCATTCAACAACGTTGGAGAGAGCAAGATCATCGCGTTGCATTATAGAGTTTACTCTTTCCCACGTGCAGCCTTGTACAATTTTCATTCAATTTGTCATATCGAAAAATGAGTTCAAAGTGTGAAGTCGTCGTCGAAGTTGACCACTGTGTTTTGCGTGTTTGTACTTTTCTTGTGCAAGCGCAAATTTTTGAATAAAGTAAAAGTTCCAATTTTATAGAATAATCAGAGCAGTGATTGGTTCAATTACCAGTGAAAAGTGTTAGGGCAGTGGTCCGCGAGCTCTCGGATCGGGAAATCTAAGCACAGGATTCAAAATTTGCTGATTTTCACCGTCCTCTTTCTTGTGGGGGTAAATTTAAAACTCTGTTCCGTACCTATAGGGGAATGATGGGTGCAGAGGATAGCAAGAAGCAAGCGGGGCAAGAAGTAGCGAGGCAAGCAAACTGGTGGCTGAAGTTAATGAGTTGTGCAAGCAGCAGCAACGAATGAAATCAGTGAAGAAATCGAAGTGAAAAATAATACATGCATACGTATTGCGTGAAAATACTGCTTAAAATTGGGGCAGGTGCGTTTTAATTTGAGGATAAAATGCACGTTGAGTGTTGGTAGAAGGCTGCTTGTAAGCAGATTGGCTCTCTTGTACGGAAAGGAGCATTTTTTAATGCGAGTGTAAAAATATTTCAATCGTGCAGTGCAGTGAAGAGTGTTGCATGTTGAGAAGCGAAAAAAAGGCCAAGAAAGTCATCGGTTGCGAGTGGGGAAAAAAAGAGAGAATCCGATGTGTGTGTGTAAAACTACTAGCAGCATAATCCCTGCCCCTACCTATGGCATCTACTTAGCAATCAACAAAGAATCGTGTAAAGTGAAATTTGTGTAATTTTTGAAGAAATCGATTGTTTTGGTGGAGAATCCGAAGCGCCTATAATCGTCTGCTGAATAATATGCAGCCATTGATTCTTCGATAAAAAGGTAAACATTGTCCTGTAGTAGTATTGATTTTTTTGCCAACACGTACATAGGTATGACGTACCATTATCTTGACAAAGAGTGCTGGCTCGAAAACGGTCCGAGGAGCGAGAGCATTGTTTTGAATGAGTTTTGCGCAATGATTCCCATCGAGCAGGACATGTGCTGCTGCTGTGAACAATGAACCGTTTTGAGAAATAGTCTGTAGGTACCTCCCTATCTACGGACAGCTTATAGAGGGAGCGGCAGCTAGTTGGCGATCACCGATCAGTGGTCCCAAAGCTTGCTTTTGATGACCTTGAGAATCATTTTTTGTTGACTAGACTCTTTTTCCAACGAATGGTCATTCTGTGTGAACTTGGATTTGATTTGAGGTTGTTGAGTTGAGGCACCATACACCGACAAAAGTTTTTAGATAGTTTCCATTGGGAACGCATATGATATTTTTCCAATAACAAAATTATTAATGATTCTTATCTGAAATTCACATAACATTCATATGATCACATGAATTCTATGTGATAAATCACATAAATTTCATTGGACACATAAGTTTCATGTGATTCCCAATTATGAGAACATGAATGTTATGTGAAATTCTAATGGAATTAATTAATTTATCTTTATTAGGGAGGCTTTCAGCCTTGGGCTGGTTCGCCTCCAACATTCTAATGGATATTTTCCATTGGAAATGTAGTTTATGTTTTGAGTGTATTCTTATCGTAGTCCATGACGATTTATAGTTGGTTCCATCTAAACCTGGACTGCTCCTAAACTGCAAAAAGTCCGATAAAAATGCACATTTACGTCAAACCGTTTTTTTGTCTTCCGGGCACTTGGCACATGATAACTGTTTCATGTGCTACGATAGGGTGGGTGAGCCACTAATGGAGGAACTAAGACATTTTATTTATTAAATACTAAATAAACGATCTTCAAACATTTTTTTATACGTCAATGTAAAGATTTCAATCATACATTGTGATTATATATGTTTGGAAAACTCGTCCTCCATTAATAAGGCACGGTATTACCAAGCCGAATGCGGTGGGTTCGATTCCCTATCCGATCTAGGAAATCTTTCGGGTTGGAAATGTTCTCGACTTTCCTGGGCATAGATTATCATAGAGTGTTTGCCACACAATATACAAATTCATGCATTGGTTGACATATAAAGCTGATGCTCTCAATAGGTCTTAATAACTGTGGAAGTACATCTAGAAGAACACAAAGTAGAGAGACGGAAAAACGCTCACTACAGAAGCATAAAAAGCCTAGAAGAAGAAAGAACACTACCGCAACTATTTACGTGCAAAAGTGTCAACATCCTAAGAAAAAAAATATAATTGTTCTCCATCATTTATAGGCTAATTTAAAGTTTAAAATATGCAAATTTACTTCATTTTATTCACCGATGAAAAATTAATTTATCTGAATTTCTACCTTTATTCCGGCATATGATGCAAAACACAACTATAAGGACACCACTATTACTGGAACTCCTACACTAGTAATTATTAATTATGATTCTATTAACACAACCAACCAGAGGTAACTCTTTGAATAAGTTTTTCTTGAAAACATTGTACCTCAATAAATCTGTTCGGAATACTATTTAAAGATTGCACTAACTATTTGTAGCAGCTGATTTACGCAGCTTTAGCTGCAATTAGTTCTACTAGTCCTACATAAGTTTCACACACACAATCACAAAATTTCATTGTACGTTTAAAATGCTTTAAAAAAAAATGAGATAAAAATTGGTGTTTATTAAAAACCGGCGAAAAAAGGGGCAGGGGGGGGGGGGGTGCCCGATTGGCACAAAACTTTTTTTTTTTTTAGCTTAAGATGAGTAGACTTACCAATTTTGGTTCAAATCGGAGAGGGTCGATGCTTTTGCTCGGTCACTTGAGATGGAATGACCCATGTACAGATTATTCTCTATTTTACCGATTTTCTTGATCATTTCTTGATACAGATTTGTAGATTTTTAGCAAAAATTCACATTACGCAGATTTTTCGAGAATCAAAATTATTTTCAGAGTTGATTATAAATATATTACGATTTAAGTTTTCATTTGCCTGAAATTTGGTTTAGTGTGTACATTACCAATTTCTGTATAGGTCTGATTGTTCTCATGTTCTTCCAGTTGATTCAATGTTCACTAGGTTGAAGTTTTTTTTAAATGAAAACTGACTAGCTATTAATCAAAATATTACTATTTATCAAAATTATGCCACTTAATGTTAAAAAGTGTTAAATGCATTTTAAATGCTTTTGATAATCGTATTGGCACATCAATGTGATGCACCAATTAATTAATGTCGCTCACTAGATAAAAAGCAAACCTCAGTGTGCACATTTTTCCAGGCATTTTTTAATTACGAGAGTTACTGACAATTCAGTGGAATACAGGGTGCGTGACGAATTTTTGCAGTAAATTTCAAATAGTATTTTCTCATGCTTGCGGATCATGATTTAGATATATTTGGCAGCACTGAATTGCTCATACTGTTAGGTATAAGATGTAAACAAACAGTGTTGAGTAAACGTAAAGATGTCGAAACAAAAGAGCAATCGGTCAGCCGCTGTCGCTTTGTTGCGCGCCGGAGTAAGCGTAATAGAAATAATTCGGTGGATAAATGTGTCTGAAAGAACAGTGTATAATATAAAAAAAGGCCTGGGAAAGTGATAAAATGGAGAACCTGCTCATACTGCTAATAAAACACAGAAATGGCTTGCGGAAAATATTTCGGAATTTTGGGAGAAAGAAATTTGGCCCCCAAGCAGTCCCGATATCAATCCGTTGGATTATTGTGTACGTCGAACGGAATACCAATAGAACCCCTAACACCACACTTAAGTCCCTAAAAGCTAAAATCAAGGTAGTGATGACATCTATGGATTAAAACATTGTCAAACGTGCATATGGCAGTTTCCGGAAGCGTCTAGCTACAGTCGTCGAAAGGGAAGGCGATTTTTTTTCAATAAAATTAGTTACAACTTCCATATTTTGCGAAAGAAAATAAAACACATAACATTCATTGCTAGAATAGCTAACTGGTGTAATTTTTCTCAAATATGTCATTTACTGCAAAAATTCGTCACGCACCCTGTATTAGCATCCTGCATCGAATAGTTAGAAAAACGCAGCATTAATAGCATGATGTCATTTGCAATACTTATTTGTTCTATGTATTCGCAATTTTTGTTTTAAAGGGAAAATATGAAATGATTGAAAGTATTCTCAATCCAAGTCCGAGATTTCGTAAAATTTGAGCTATATTTGGATTTTTGGTAAGCAAATGAATTGGATCGTTCTGTTTCCTATACATTTTCCCGTAAAAATTCTCCCGCAAATCGAGATTAAAATCAAATTCGTTCAAATTGTGCAAAGTTGTTGGGGACCTCATACGCATTAAAGAAGCAGTGGGAAAATGGGGTTGTAAAGTTGACCCACCCTAATGTACATACTTGGAAAAATGGTCACGAAAACAGCAAAACGTAACAAAACATCGAGGTACCTTATTTGAAATTTTTTTTAGGCATTCCTTTGGATCCCCCTATGAATTGTATAAAGAAAACAGTAGAGTGTAAGATTGTGTTAAACAATTATAAAATCGGACGCAAATCCTAAAAACGAAGAGTTAGCAATTTGCTTCCTTCTGCAAAGCACTTACATCTTTGTAAAACATTAAAAAAAATGGAAAATGCAAACAAAAAAAATTATGGTAACCGAAACGCTTTTTAATGGGGTATTACCGTTTGGTACTACCGCTGAGATGAACTAGCCTACAGCTTAACATCTAATTTATTAAGATACAAAAAATAAACGTTTGTTCTTAATTTTTACCCTATAACTTCATTCACTTGAGGGATAGCAATTGTTTGTCTTCGACAAAATTTCTTAAAAATGGCTTCATCTACAATGTTTCCATAGATGTTCATCAATTTTAACTAGACATCTTAATTTTGAATACACGCTTAGCAAAATATTAGTACTCAAATAAAGTACTCAAAAAATGGAGAAACATTATAGAAGGCTTCAAAATGCTGCACTCAATAGTTAGTGCTCTCTTGCAGTGCGGATCTATTTGCTTTTTGCTGAAGGAAGTGTTACTACTACCTAAAGCTACAACAAATTCTTATTCCTCTTCGATCCTTGTTTTGGACCCTATCCAAGGTAATCCTTCTTGGATATCGATTTGGAAAATTCCTCTTCAGATTCTTATATTAATCTGCTTGGAAGTCGATTTGGATAAAAATTTACTGCCGCCATGTCGCCTAAGCGCAAAAGAAAAGGGCAAACGCTTGATCCCCATTCTGATGAATTTAATTTGAGCAATCAATTTGATTTGCTCACGGATGATGAGAATGATCCATCATCCAAGAAAAATTCTAGTAAACTTTCCCGGCTTAATGCCAAGAAGGAAAAGATTCCCCCTATTGTGATAACCACTTCCGATTTCCATGCTCTTCGCATGGAACTTTTGAACTTCGTGAAAGTTAAGTTTTCACTACAAATTGGACGTCGGGGTGAATGCCGTGTATTGGCTGAAACCTTGGACGGATTTAAATGTCTTCTCGAGTATCTCACTGAGAAGCAGCACATTTTTTTTTACTTACGACACCAAAACTGAACGTGTGTTCAAGGTTGTCATGAAAGGACTGCCCAGTGGTGAATCCCTGGATCAGATCAAAGATAATCTAGCAAAATTACTTGGAGTTATGCCACTCCAAGTAATCAAAATGAAATCCCGTCGTGGCGATTCGCGCAACGGGATTTCTAATGATTTTTATTTAGTTCAATTCAAGTCTAGTGAACTAAACAACCTTAAGGCCTTAGAAAAAGCTAGCCTTATGCTCCATGTCCGAGTGAAGTGGCAACACTTCAGGAAGACTGGAGGAAATTTTCAAAACCTCACCCAGTGCCGTAAGTGCCAACTACTGGAACTAAAAATTGCTACATGCTAGCTAAATGCATGAATTGTGGTGATTCCTC